AAGCAACTGGCTTATCAGTGCAGTGATAGGAGTAACTCTACTCTCTTGTAGTGTTATGGGCAGATCTAACATATCCAACAGGATCCAGAGAAAGATGTACATATATATAAACAGCAGATTGTAACTGAATTAACATAAAAACCTTCAATCCATAAGAAAAAACCTTTGAAGATGAAGCTGCAGTTGGAAGCCATACTGCTGCAGAGATCGTATATCTGTCATATTATTATACCACAGTGTGACTATGACTGGATAATTTATCAACAAGCAGCTGATGCGGAAATGCAACTGCTGATAGCTGATCAGCTGATAAAAGCACTGCTTCAGTGTTCTGCCTGAACTACAGCAAGGCTCCATGAAGATAAAGACTGAGATGTTTTGTTTTCTCTAAAGTTAATTACAGTTATTTTTCACCGAGGGGGGTTTAGTTTTAATGTGAAGTGTTTTGGGGGTTAATTTCAGGTTTGAGGGACAGAGGCATAAACTTAGTGGAACAAATTTGTGTGTGAAGTCATGTGTGCATCTTTCCACTACAATGGGGGGTTATGCACAAGTTGATTGATGACCGTGGCCACTGTGGATATTTCTAGAGTTACAGCAGACCCATTCTTACAGGTATAAACCAGACTAGGTAGGAGGCACATGCATACACACACTGATGCACACTGTACAAAGTATCCGGAGCAGAGTGCTGAGCATCTGCGTGCACTTGACTGGTTAATGTCCATATATCAACTTCACGTGCGTCTGATTATGCGTGTGCATGGTTTCAGTGACATTATGCAGATGTGTCAAGTCATGCCAGTGAAGTGAAGTGAACAGGAGAGGGGATGATATGCTATCACAGATTAATGATCGATTGGATGTCCGTGTGAGTTAAGAAGTCTGGAAAGTAAAGCTGAATACTCCACTGCTTCACGTCTGCTCTGCTGATGCATTGCTACTCAGTTTACCAGAAAAATGATGTTTTCATTTAGAAACACTTAAAAATGATGAATATTTTTGAAATTCTATTTTCCTTTTCCAAGAAGAGATGTAGGTAATGTTCACAATCGCACAAAAATACATGCACATCTGAAAGCAACACCTCGCATAACCCGATCGTGGTTTTATGCTGTGA